GGGCCGTCGTCGATGGTTTCGTGACGACGGCGGCGGGAGTATTCTTCCTCCTCCTCCTCCCCCATTGATTTTTGCTGTGCCCGGCGTGGAAATCCCACTGTTTACCAATAAATTAATTATGAGAAAACAAAGTAAGGCATCCAAACTTTTCATCAACAAGTTATATAGGAGGGGGGGATACAATTAAAAGGCCAGACCTGATGATGAAGAAGAAGAAGAAGAAGAAGGCATGGATTTGGACAACGCCGCCGGCCCCAAAATCTTTTTCTCCTGCCCTCCAGATCCAAACCCTAATTAATTAAAGGGAAAAATGCTTCCAGCCCCCAAAACAAAAAGAAACATGTCTCCCACCCCCAAGACTTTTTCAACGGGCTCTTTGCCCCCAAAAGTAAACTAATTATTCACTGAGCCCCCAAAACACAAAGCCCAAGAATTTTACACAGGTAAAGACTATAATACCCATTCTACCCATTCTCTCTTTCTCTCTAACCATGCAATTCGGCCCTCTGCTCTCCCTCCTCCTTCCCCCACCTCTCCACCCGCCGCTGCCGCCACCCTCCTCCTACCATCATCGCCTCCTCCGCCGTCGTCGCCGCCCCCAAAACCAACCTTCGCTGCCGATTGATCCACCGCGTTGATCGTTTCTTCGCCGGCGATCCTCGCAACCTTCGCTGCCAATTTAACCTCCCCGCAACAAAGATTCAGCGCCTTGGAGCTCCCCAGGGACACCACCAACAGATCCTCCGCCCCGTCGGTGAAGGGAAACTTCCTCTTATTAGTAAGCACGTGCGTGATTGTAGCTGCCGTCGGATTTCCCATCCCAATCCCCCCTCCCATCGCTTTGATGTTTAGAAAACATCAAAGCGATGTTAAAATTAGGGAAAAATGCTCCGTGAACCCAAATCCGTAAGATTAGAGACTTTTGTCATTTAACACTTTACGATTAGAGACTTTTGTCAATGAAGTTTGAACACAGAAAAGTACTTCTGCTTTGCCTATTACCATTTAGCATGGCCACACATCCACCACGAGCAAGGGAAATACTACGAATATAGAAAAGCTGGATAATGAACTTCCTTGTATGTTATATCATTCGTCCATAGTTCATGCTCAAAAATAAATAATTGATCCAAAATGATTACAGTATACACCGATAAACAAATAAGCAATAGAAGGCATGATTTTACTAGGACAAAAGGAGTTTGTGTTTGCTTTCCTATGGGTTTACTGGAAAATTAACGAACTTAGAGCTGATATTATTTGCAGGAAGTGTTTTCCCATAATTTTAATGAAATTTTCAAAAGTCAAGTGATTTACGTGTTGGTTGTTAAGTTTACGGGTTGCTTGTTAAAGTTACGCGTTGATTGTTAAGGTTACGGGTTGCTTGTTAAGGTTACGCGTTGCTTGTTAATGAAATTTTCAAAAGCCAAGCGATTTACGTGTTTGTTGTTAAGGTTGCGCGTTGGTTGTTAAGGTTACGCGTTGATTGTTAAGGTTATACACGTTGATTGTGAATGTTACGGGTTGCTTGTTAAGGTTACGGGTTGCTTGTTAAGGTTACGCGTTGGTTGTTAAGGTTATACGCGTCGGTTGTTAAGGTTATACGCGTTGCTTGTTAAGGTTACGGGTTGCTTGTTAATGTTAACCGTAACCTTAACAAGCAACCTGTAACCTTAATAACCAACGTAGAACCTTAACAAGCAACCCGTAACCTTAACAATCAACGCGTAACTTTAACAAGCAACCCGTAAACTTAACAACCAACACGTAAATCACTTGACTTTTGAAAATTTCATTAAAATTATGGGAAAACACTTCCTGCAAATAATATCAGCTCTAAGTTCGTTAATTTTCCAGTAAACCCATAGGAAAGCAAACACAAACTCCTTTTGTCCTAGTAAAATCATGCCTTCTATTGCTTATTTGTTTATCGGTGTATACTGTAATCATTTTGGATCAATTATTTATTTTTGAGCATGAACTATGGACGAATGATATAACATACAAGGAAGTTCATTATCCAGCTTTTCTATATTCGTAGTATTTCCCTTGCTCGTGGTGGATGTGTGGCCATGCTAAATGGTAATAGGCAAAGCAGAAGTACTTTTCTGTGTTCAAACTTCATTGACAAAAGTCTCTAATCGTAAAGTGTTAAATGACAAAAGTCTCTAATCTTACGGATTTGGGTTCACAGAGCATTTTCCCTAATTTTAATGAAATTTTCAAAAGCCAAGCGATTTACGTGTTGGTTGTTAAGGTTAGCGTTGGTTGTTAAGGTTATACGCGTCGGTTGTTAAGGTTACGGGTTGCTTGTTAAGGTTACGCGTTGCTTGTTAATGAAATTTTCAAAAGCCAAGCGATTTACGTGTTGGTTGTTAAGGTTAGCGTTGGTTGTTAAGGTTATACGCGTCGGTTGTTAAGGTTATACGCGTTGCTTGTTAAGGTTACGGGTTGCTTGTTAAGGTTACGCGTTGCTTGTTAATGAAATTTTCAAAAGCCAAGCGATTTACGTGTTTGTTGTTAAGGTTGCGCGTTGGTTGTTAACGCGTAACCTTAACAAGCAACCCGTAACCTTAACAACCGACGCGTATAACCTTAACAACCAACGCTAACCTTAACAACCAACACGTAAATCGCTTGGCTTTTGAAAATTTCATTAAAATTAGGGAAAATGCTCTGTGAACCCAAATTCGTAAGATTAGAGACTTTTGTCATTTAACACTTTACGATTAGAGACTTTTGTCAATGAAGTTTGAACACAGAAAAGTACTTCTGCTTTGCCTATTACCGTTTAGCATGGCCACACATCCACCACGAGCAAGGGAAATACTACGAATATAGAAAAGCTGGATAATGAACTTCCTTGTACGTTATACCATTCGTCCATAGTTCATGCTCAAAAATAAATAATTGATCCAAAATGATTACAGTTTACACCGATAAACAAATAAGCAATAGAAGGCATGATTTACTAGGCAGAACTTAATTAAAAGGGAAAAATGACCTTAGGAGAGCCCTCCTCACTTATGTATGATACTTATTAGGACCTAAATAAATAAACTAAGAAAAATCCCAAAAAGAACTCCATGTTCTCCTTCCAAAACTCCCTGTTCTCGTAAACCTCCTTCTTCCAGATCGACACCGACGCCTTCACCTCGTTCGATCACAAACCGGCACGCCTCGATCGCGTCGGATCTGTGGACGGCTGATGTCGCGACGAATACGCTGGCCTTGCCGACGGGGACGGTGCCGAGGCGGTGGGAAACGGCGCCGCGGCGGGGGAGCGGACGTGGGCGGTGTCTTGGCGGGGTCCAGGTGGGGGGAGGTGGCGGGGTCCAGCTCTCTCCTCTGCACAAATAAAAAAAGGAAACAAAGGGTATTTTGGGAATATTTATGTTGGTTTTAAACAACATATCACGTGGGGGGTGTTTTGGGGGCTAGAAGAAAATCGCGTAAGTTTTTGGGGGCAAAGAGCCCGTTGAAAAAGTCTTGGGGGGTGGAAGCATGTTTCTTTTGGTTTTGGGGGCTGGAAGCATTTTTCCCTTAATTAAATGCGAAGTCCGGCTGTGAGGGGGAAGAAAAGTCTTCGCGTGTGGGGACCACCTTGCTTCGGTTTCCAAAGCATTATTAGGGGGAAGAAAAGTCTTCGCGGTGTTTGGTTGCATTCTTTTTTAGAAGGGAAAATCTATTTTAACCTAAAGTTTTACCAGAACTTATTTTAAAACCCACTCATTTTTTCAAACACCAATAGACCTACTGTATCTCATCTCACTTATTTTTAAACCCAACATGTATAATACACCCATTTTTTTTACTGTATTTACCTAATAAATTAAAAATTCCTAAACTACCACATCCCCAAATATAACTCATCCCCTCTCTCTCTCTTCCCTCTATCTTCCGTTTCACTTTCTCAAAGAGTCCAGGAGAGATTAGGGTTTCGGCGAAGAGATATCTGGTTGAGGATCACAGGCAACGACGAAGGGAGTTGGTTCGACGGTGAGCGACGACGGACGGCGGCTGCACGGGTCTGAAAGCGGAGGACATTTAGAGCGACGACGGACGACGGCTGTACGGGTCTGAAAGCGGGTAACACATGAATCTTCCCCTTTTCCACTCTAATACTTAAAATTAAGCCCCTAGATCATCGATTTTCATCGCAAGTTCCTCATATCACTGAGTGTTTTTATTTTTCGAATGAGGTTGTAGAGAAGGCGACGGAGAGAGTTAGGGCTTGGATTAATCGGTGTTGTCTGTAGCGAGAGATATTGGAGTTGGGAGAGATCGAAAGGTTTTCCTGCAAGTGTGATTAAGCTCTTTTTTTAAATTAATTTATGGAAATGGATGATTTCTTGACCTAATTATGTTGATGTTTGGTATAATTTAGGTCATCGTGGGACTGTGGATTGTTTCGTACATTGGAAGTTCGTTTAGTATCTTCACTCTTATTTACATCGGTGAGTTCTAATAATTTATCCATTGTTTGGCTGACCTAATTAAAGTTCCAAAAGAAGAACACTTTCTTTTGATCGAAATTAAGCCCCTTGTTGTAGTTTTGATCACATGCAACTTGCACGTATAAATTGTTAAAAAGGCCCGAAAGATAAGAATGTACTTATATCACAGTAATCTCTCGAACATCTAAGGTTTAACACCTATGATAGCTTGGTGTTGAAATCATTATTTATAAAAGGATTCCAACCTGCCGCTGGGATATTCATAATTAAATTGTATTTTTTGAAATATTTGTCAATAGGTTGTCAAAGATGTCAAGCAGAAGTAAATCGAGGGATTCTTCCCAATCGACGTCTAAGGCTACTAAGTAAGTAAATTTTAATTTATATGAAATTATTGTTATGTTAATAATTTCTTATGTTTTTACTTGTAAATGAAATTGAATCTGAAGATTTGGATCCCTAGATCCCTAGATACGTCTGATACATACGAATGATAAATAAGAGCATCAAGAGAAAACTTCAACATA